TGCATTTCTAACTACACCTTTCAGACTGGGTTATGATATGCTTACACATATTCATGAATTTAACCTCATAATACCTTGAAGCAGATAAGCTTCTCCTGATGCTGCCAAGTACATTGGTTCACAAGCTGTGCTCTGCAGATGGCTGGCAATCCATAAATTCCAAGTGAGTGGCTGGTGTATTGTCCACTGAACTCTGTTAAATCTTATTAATTAGGCAGTTAAAAATTAGATGATAAAGATTTGTGAGAATTGGCTGTGGTCTGCATCTGTGGATACTGATGTATTCCTTGAGAGCACACCAAAAGCAAGAGAGGTTAAGCAGCTTGCCCAGGATATAGAAAAAAGGAAAACAAAAGTCTTATGACACCTCTGAAAGAGTTAGGAACAAAATCCAACCTCTAGATTATTGGTCTGGTATTTTACCTAGAAAATCATTGATTTCTTCATGACTGGGTTATATTGTCATAGTGTTCTTATATATAAGGATCTTGGTAACATTTTGACTACCCTGATGATGACATTTGATGTGCACGTGAAAGACACTCACTTGCGATGCATCCTACATACAGTCTGGTGAGTTAAAAACATTGAATTTTCCCATTGTATTCCATTGTTTCAACATCCATTGATTATGTTTGCCTAATTATATTTTACAAAAAGCAAAAAGGTCACCTCACAAAAAGCTACGTGTGCAGAGGACTCTGGCTTTTTAACTAAAATAATGACACAAGTCAGTTTCTTTTTAGAAGGCAATGGAAATGTATGTATTTCTACACTGTATATAGAAAAGGAGTGTTGCTCTGAAACAACCTTAAATTGGCTAATCACTATCTATCCTTACTGTAGATAAAAACAAGACATTTTCCCTGGGCTTACTATCAATCTTTTCCTTTAAGACATGCCTGTTATTATAGTTTTTAAAAGAAAACAATGTGTTTGTGAAAGGCACGAAGGAATGAACCTCAGTATTTTCAATCCCAACTTTTTTTGCCTTTTGCATCATATTTTCCACAGACAATTCATTCTGCATTGGGCATCCAGAGTGGGGTGCATGTGTAAGTGCAAACTGAAGTGATGTGCAGGCCAGGGAGGTCATGGCATGGTGCTCTGCTTAAGTGAAAAAGCTGTTGAAATTAATTCTGTCAAAGAATGAGGTCCTCTAAGGCCATAAAGAGTAACAGAGCCAAGTGTTTTGTTATTATCATGAAAGTGGCAGGTAAGCACATACTTTTTAGACATTTGTTCTCAACCTTGCCCTGTTTTAACCTGTTCTTTTGGGTTCAAGGAAACAACTGAACACGAGACTTGAAAAATAGCTGGGTCTGATACAGAAAGCTCTGCTTAGTGCTTAAACTTGCCCATGGCCATAAATAATCTACATTTAAGGAGTTTAAAGATGTGCTGTAAGCAGGGAAGCATATAAAGTCATCCTTCTTTGTCCTTGGATAATATTCAAGCTGGGGACATACTTTCTCTCAGTTTTGGTAAGGAGGAGGCATGTGAGACCTCCTGACTATAGGTCTTCTGATCGTTCTCTCGAGCTTAGATTTGTGAGTGGACTCTCAACTCTGTCCTGAGTCCTATAGGAGGTGGCCTGAGACTGTGTGAACAACCTGATGGGTGTAGGGATCTGAACAGGGACCCATTCTACAAAAAAAGCAAGTATGCAATACGATAGTGAAAATAGCCATGTGCATTGTCTCCAATTTTACTAAATAAGGACAAAATTTTACTGAAGAGAAAACTCAGTGTGTTTTGCTGAGTGATGCTTGTTTAATATATCCATTTAATAATTTCAGAAGAGAACTTTTTCAAAATAAAGAAAAGAGTTTTGCTTTCTTGGAAACACAGCATCATAACATTAGTGAGGTTGGCATGTTTATTTGGTTCCTGTCCATTTATGTAGTTTTTAATTACAGGCCTGGACATGGAATTCTTGATGATTATTTCCAGCATGATTTCCAAATGAGGAACATACTATCGCATTAGCTTCTTCACACTTCTTTGCCAAAAGCCTCCATAGTAGGGACAAGTCCTGTTAGGAGTGAAATGACATATTAATGCATCAGAAAGTGGGCTACAGTGCATCCCATACTTACTTGAACTCAGCAGCTTGCATTTAAGAAAGAGAAGCACTGCAGGCATATTCGCAAAGTTCAAGAGGACCAAACATCTAGGTCTCCCTTACAGTTAGCAGAAAAATAGACACTCCTCTACAGTATCATTTAGAACGAGAGTCTGAATTAGGTGACGTAAATTGTACTCTGAAGAATCTGTCTCTGTACTTCCTACAGAATGAGCGAGTTTGGGAAGTAATGGAAAAGTCTTAGCACTTATACTGAATTTGATGTTTCTCCAGACAAGTGCAGGCACTAGTAGTTTTCTAAAACTCATTTGGGTTTTGCACACAAGAAAGGCTTGCTACTGGTAGTCTAGGGAGACTGGCTTTCAAGGCTGAAGTTAGTCTCTCCAAACAGTTTGAATCATTATCAGTACCTCAGTAATAGTCTCATGATTGCCCAGGTGAGAGGTGGAGAGATTAGTCCTTTCCCATGCCTTTCCTACGTCTTCTGCATCCTATAATAGGCAAACATGCTCCTACCCCTGCAATAAAAGCTGGCAGCAATTCTGGGTTCAACTTGCCCATAATTCTGCTTATGGCACTGCAAGTAATGAATCCATAAGTTCAAGGCACAGCCTTCAACAGCCACCAGCAGAAGGTGCTGGGTTTTATTTTTTTATTATTTTAAAGAACTTTTAAGGACACTATTGCATGGGTAGTGCACATAAATACATTAATTTAGAGGAGGACTGAAAATTTTTGCGGTGACAGTCTGTGTTTAAAACCATCCACAGGAAACACATTGTTACTCAGGAAGGCTATATAAGGTACAAGATTTGGCAAGACTATTATTAGAATGCAGGTGTCCTGATTGCTCTGCTCACTGAATCACACTGTTTCTGAAGTGTTAGGCATCATACATAGGGATGAACTGTAAGGCAGATAGGACTGAAGGCAGCAAATGAAATGAAAGCTAAACCCTCATTTTGTAAACCTTAAGCAAGTTGAAGAAGCTACATGGAAGGCTTCCTAGGAGATAAAATCAAGAAATAAAATTATTATTCTTCTTGCTAGAAGCAGTAACTACTGGTTTCAGCTGCTGCCTAACAGAGAGGAGCCAGAAGGGCAGTGGAACAGACTACTTGGGCAAGTGTACAGGTTACACACGGGCATCCCCACTGCACAGTCTTTTGTCTGCTGGACTTCATTGTCTTGTTGCAAACTGTATACAACATCAGCATACTCTTTAGTACTTTATAGCCAGTTGTGATTAGACTGGTATAAACAACCATTTGCTTTTCTTTTTCTCATATTCTAAGCAAAATATCCACAAATAGCTTTACAATAAGGGACAGTAGTGAAGGTGGACAGAATTTGTTTCTGTCTTTTGCTATAGAAATCAGAAAGATGAAAGATTAGTGATGTGTATGCTTGGTTATCTTTAGTTTTTTGTTCTAAAACTTCATTGTTATGCCTGTGAAAGTGAATAATTATTAAGGCCAATGCAAACACAGGGTATGCAAGCATGTAGGTACCCAGCCAAGACTACATTTGATCAAGAACTTTAGTCACTACCAAATAAAAGGGTAATTCTGAAGTCAAACACTCCCTACTCCATTATTTATGAAATATAAATCTTATCCTGAATTTTGTCTCAAAAGCTTGCTACTTTTGTAGTCTCCTTCAGGACTTTTTGTACCCACTGTATGCCTTCTATATGCCTCTTCAGTAACCCAAAGAAGCTGGCATATTGCTATTTGTACTATGAGACAGCAGAATTAGCTCAGAAAATTTATACAGTAATTGAAATTCTGGTGGGTTAGTGTACAGCCCTCACCCTGGTTCCAGCTATCCTCTTGGATTGCCCAAATGCGCTCTGAGATGTCTGACTTAGAAAGCTTTGATGTGAGCTGCTTTTCCATAAACCTTTATGTTAGGATATGAGTTCTGTGTTGCCCTTAGTATTGCCAAACTCCAAGAAGTTAAAATTCTGCCAGGCTCCCAAAATACTTGAGATTTTTTCTTAAAAAGCATATGAGGTGAAACAATACCTAGTTCTAAGTTCTTTATTTTTGCCATCTATCTTTTTGAGCATCCCAGGTAGCATTTTGGTCAGGTTTTCAAGTTAATCTCTGCAACCGTCCTGAAAGCCAAAGTGTACTTTTTATAAATGAAAGCCATGATCTTTGAAGTCCCTAGAGAAAAATAAGTTTGCTATTTAGCAGTATTCGTTAATCTGTGTTTATTCAGGTGTTTTATATGGAATAGAAACTGTATTTTAAGGACTCAAATTTGAAAACATTGACAACTGCCACTTATGATGATGTTGCAGTAACATTGCACATTCCAAAACTGTAGAATAGACTAGAACTAGAAAAAATCAAGACCTATTTCAGACCTTATACCCAACTCATTATTTAATGGTATGATAGCTGAAAGCTTGTAAAGGCAAAATGCTTTGAATAAGGTTATAGGCATTACAAAAGACAGCAGCATATTTACAGTAAAATAAATGGTTCAAGAATTTTATGAGATGTAAAATATATTAAGATTTTGCTTGGAAATATACCTTCTATGTCATAACGCAGCATTGATCTCTTTTTTCTTTGTATAAGTGAAGTATCATTGTCTTTATTTTCACTGTCTTTTTCATTCATCACATTTTCTGAAAGTAGATCTTTTTAATTATATACTCAAGAACTGTCCTAGATTTTTAGAATTACCATTTTTTTGGTACCAGTCACCAGTGATGTTTACGTCCTCTTTTGCAACCAGAGCTATTATCATGGATACAAGAATCATGAAAAAGAATTAAACCTCTGAGAACTTCTTCTTGAGTTCATTGATCTGGTATCAAAAACTCCAATAAAATCTAAATGTTTCCAGTTTTATAGGATACAAAAGACAATAAACTATTTCTTTCTATTTTGAATTACAGATGGCATCTGCTCAAGATTCCAAATATGTCCAGAAAGATACATCTGATCAGAACTTTGATTACATGTTCAAACTGCTCATTATCGGCAACAGCAGTGTTGGGAAAACCTCCTTTCTGTTCCGATATGCTGATGATTCCTTTACGTCTGCATTTGTAAGCACGGTTGGGATTGATTTCAAAGTAAAAACAGTTTTCAAAAATGAAAAAAGAATTAAGCTACAGATTTGGGTAAGCAAAAAAATAATAATTCTGTGAACTAAGCAAGCTGTAGTAGGTTGGTAGATAACATTTAAGCTACTGTAGGTTTACAATGAATGTCATGAACTTTATATATATGGCGTAGTAATGAAAAAGCAGTAAATTATTTCCTGCATCATTCTTCTATCTTGAATAATAGACTGTAAACAGTATTTTTAAGTTATTGAAGTACAGCAGAGTATATATTTTGAATTAAATTCCATTAAGAAATAACACAGCTTGACACATATTGATATTTGTGCAGTGAGGTATAAACAACTGTGCAATATATAGGCTATTGAAAGTGATACACATTATTAAAAAGCACCTTGAAATAGAATCATAGAATCATAGAATCATAGAATGGTTTGGGTTGGAAGGGACCTTAAAAATCATCTAGTTCCAGCCCCCCTGCAGTGGGCAGGGACACCCTCCACTAGACCACGTTGCCCAAAGCCTCATCCAGGTATAAGAAATACCAGTTAGGATCTGGTTTCTTCCCACAAAAATTATAAATTCATGTAGGAGCTGTGACATTGGATGCATAACAGAAGGCATAATTTTTTGCTCTGTTGGTTATGTTTATCATCCTGATCACCTGAAACATCTTCCTTCTTCTGCTGAGGAAGAAAATGTGTGGAAAGAGAGCATGTAACAGCTGAGTTGCCCAAGTGTACAAGAACCCTTGTCCCTTGCCTACACCTTAGATAAGGTACAAAGATGCCAAATGTAGGAAAGTGTGATGCCATGGAATAGGTGTTCTTCTCTGGAAACTTTCCTTAGAAAGAAAGGCTAGCCAAAACTTAGTTATGCAGGAGCCGCTGATGCTCCCATCTCCTAATTCTTGGGTGATAGGGTGATAGTCACTTAAAGGAGAGGTGGAGATAGCAGAACGTTTACAATGTGGGACCTAGAGTTAAAGCTTCAGGTCTTTGCCATCTTCCTGGACTACATGAAGATTTTGATCAATGTCTCCTTTGTGAGATGTTTGTCACAGCCTTATTAACTGAGATTTTCTTTTTTTGTGCATGAATATAAGTCATTTAAAAATGTATTTAATGATGGGAAGCCATTAAATCTCAGTAAACCTTGGATCAAGTATGGCTAGTTCATCTAACATGTTTTGAACAGCAGATAAATTGAATATCTTTTTTAAATGTCACAAAGGTGAATTTCCCAGAGTTTCCTAGGCTATATCTCATTCATGTTTTTTTAGGTAGGCTTCAGCCCTTGATATCTCAAATCATTTGTTGTTCTGTGCCCTTTAGGAACGGGAACATGCACTCTTTGTCTCTCAACTTCTCTACCTTTTTAAGCTTAGATTCTTGCTATTATCATGAGTATAATAGTGATACATACTAGGTAACTGTATGTCATGTGCATGCTTTCACTGCAATAACTTGCTAGTTTCATTGTAGTACTTTAATGTTGGAGATCACATGGTAATTCACATTGACATTACCTTATTATTTTTTTATAATGGAGCAGTAAAATTGTGTTCACATTATAGTCTTTACACAGTTCTTCTTTTAATCACCAAGTGTTCTATACAATAGATTTTATTGTTCATGTTTCTCCCAGCAAAAGCAGCAACATTAGTTTATGATATTATATTAATGTGATTAGTTTGACACCAGTATATTTCTTGTAATGCCTCTCTATGGCACACTACAAATGCGCTTGGCTCAAAGCAGTCCATTAATCTAAATATGTTCAGGGCTATCCGTGGCACAGAGAGGATGTAGCAGCTGTATTCTTGCCAGCTGGAATAAACTTCCAGTCCTAGCAAAATGGATGTTTTGTTGTTCTTTGCATGGCAGTAACATGCAGAGTCCAAATGGACCCTGACAGTCCTTGCCTGAAAAAACTTGCTATTGGAATGAGTGAAACAAACACAAGGGCTCCATATCCCATAGGGAGGAGGGACCAGAAGCTCAGAGCATGGAAGAGACCTTCCTAAGAGACCTACCAGGACGTAGGGTTAGAGACAGGACTTCAGATCTTACTTTCGTGCTAGAGCTTTTTACTCCAGCTAGCATGCATCTTGTTTGGTTGGTTGGTTGGTTGGTTTCTCCATTAAAATTTTAACACCAGTTCTTAAAAGGCCTTGTCATTGCCAAATTAACTCAAATTGCAACAGCTCACTAGTGCTGTTTGCACTTTTTAGATCAAGTATTCTGCATTGGAGCATTGTGTTGCAGTCATGTTTGCTGTTAAATTAGTTGACTGTTACACCTCTGGGACCTTAAATAAAATGTTAAGTATCTCAGAAAGCTATTCTAGTGCACAAAATCTGAAATAGAGCACTATTACTCCATCTCGTAAGGTATACCAACAGCCATGATGTTCTTAATATGCAGTATCTGTATACGTAACATCTGTCTATATTATGTTATACTTTATCACTTTTCTTTGATTATGCAAATGTGTTTCTAAAATGAATAGTACTCCTGCAATATCCATTTCCATTTCAAGCTACATTTATGAAAGACTATTTGTATTAGATAAAATATCAAATTGAATGAATCATAGTGAGTGTGATTTGATGTTAATTCTGAGAAGAAACATCCATGAGGTAACACTTCGTTCAAAATCACTGGCAAAGTATTTGATGACATCATGTGATAAACGATATTCAGCATTTATGAAATAAAATGTTCTGAAAAATCTCACAGGTTTGGATAGTCAGAAGAGACTAGAAGTGCAACTTTAAAATGTGTTCTGAATGACAAGATCAGAACTGAATTACTTTGCCATGTATTGCAGTGAAGAAATACATGGAATGCCACTGCTCTGCTGTCCTTGTTCGGCAGTAAGATGCAGAAATGTTTAAATAGTAATGCTGTTAAGTCACTCAAATTCCCTAACTAGAGACACAGTTAATCCAACATGCGTCCTGTTACAGTTTTGTGCATATTCTTCTTGGGTAGACATTTAAACTTTGTGTTTAATAGTCCTTTCAGCATGATACTACCTGTTCAACTTGAAGCATGTTGGAGCTTGAAACACTGATTTTCTCAGAATAAGATTCTCACATGCTTCCAGCGAAGCGTGCAAGTTTGTTTGAAAGTCAGCATGGGAACTCAAGGAAGCAGAGTTATTATTTCCTAATAAAATTCACTGTGTGATTATCACAGATGAACTAGCAAGGGTTAACAGGTTGAAGTAGGTATTGTTTACATACTGGCATGCCCTGCAGGTCTTTTGTTTGTTTGAGGTTTTTTTCTTCATTTGAGGCAATGATGTCTTATTCTTGGATTCAAAGGACTTGAATTGAATTGTCTTCTTTCATTATTCAAGTCTGGGAGGGCCCTCTCTAGTACTTACTGTTATAACTTTTTCAGACAACAGAAGGAGCACTGTAACATTTGGGTTTTTTTTCTTTCTGAGCCAAACACCTTTCCACAATATTTCTTACTGGAATTGAGAGAGGTTCAGAGTTCAAGTGCTATATGCATTAGTGATAGCACATTACCTTGTCATAGGATGACCAGCTGGCCCTGAAATTTTGTTTCACAGCAAGTTATAAATGTGACAGCCCTAGTATGGACATTATGAAGACAGCATATTAACAGGTTTTTTACCTTTTAAAGGAGAGAAATCTATAAAAAAGGCATTTTACCTTAAAAGGTATTGATTTCTCAAGAGAAACGATAAGAAATTTTCGAAAAGAATTGTGTCTGTATGCAGCAAAACATGCTTAGGATAAAAGTCCATCACATGGCTGTGGGATGTTTTACAGTGTCAAATAATAAAAAGCAATACATTTATCCTCTATTTGGTTTGAGCTAGTAATATTAAAGGGATGGGACTGGAAGGCTAAAAGATGCTTTTGATTTCAAACTGCTAGATTTCAAATTAAGTTGAATTAAAAAAATGGCTTGTCAGAGCTAATTCTGACAAAAATACACTCTGAAGAAAATTATTAGAAGCTCAAAGAAGTGTAAATCAGAAAATAAAATTAAGTTTAACCTTATGAATGTATCACTATATTCACTGTATAGATCACTACATTCAGTATATCCTGTAGCTGTGATGCCATAAAGGTTTGCATTACTTTTGTAAACTCTGTCAGTGGTTTAATAGAAATAACAGACTGCAAGAGCTTATGGAGAAAATATAGGCTAATTTGGACAGTAGAATTTGTTAGCTAACATTTGTCAAAATAAATCATTACAATAGGGGAAAAAAAGGAAAAATAAAGTGCAGATATTGATTCTTAGAAAATAGAATAAGATTTACAAAGACAGGTCAACATATTTATTTAACTGACAGTGATCCATACCACATATTTAGCTCATGTTTGAAATGTATTTGATCAGAACTCTCAGTCATTTCTAACTGATTTCAGTAGAAATTTTGTGTGAAGAATAAAACATCAAGTTTTCCCTTTCTGATCTGTTTGTTACGTAAAAGTGTTCTAACTGCATTCATACAGCAATATTTGCATAGTTTCTATCTGATTGCAGCACTTTGGTGCAAATATCAAATAAGAATACTGCATTGCTTTTTGCTGCTTAGATCACTTTTCCCTGAGATTACCCATAGACTTCATGGACTAGGTACAATGATCACACACAAATAAAAGATATCCTTCTAGATAAGACAGTGTAAGAGCTGCTTGTGTCAGCATATCCTCCCTAGAACTGCATGTGATAGTTTCCTTTGATATCCAAAATGTCGCTGTCTTCACATCAACTGTTTTCTAGGGCTTATGGACTAGGTGAGGACTAGGTTTTATAAACTGAATGAGGACATCCAATGTCATCAATCAATAATTAAAACTATATTGGCTATTAAAAAAAAATCAATAAATGTTAGGCACCTGATTTTTTACTCTACAAGCTCCATAGCAGTGCTTTAGCAGTAAAAAGGGGTTCAGTTACAATGAGAATAATTTGTGTGCATGTGCGTGTGCATGTGCGTGTGTGTGTGTTTTAGAGGGGTCTGTGGAAGTATCAGTACAAATGAAAATTGCCTCGATGTTGGAG